GCCTTTCCTTATATGCTTTGGCCTCCAGTCCCCTAATCATCTTTGTTGCTCTTCTCTGTACTCTTTCTAGAGTCTCAACATCTTTTTTACATCGTGGTGACCAAAACTGGATGCAGTATTCCAAGTGTGGCCTTACCAAGGCCTTGTAAAGTGGTATTAACACTTCACGTGATCTTGATTCTATCCCTCTGTTAATGCAACCCAGCACCGTGTTGGCCTTTTTGGCAGCTGCAGCACACGGCTGGCTCCTATTTAAGTGATTGTCCACTAGGAGTCCGAGGTCCCTCTCACAGTTACTACTATTGAGCAAGGTACCCCCTATACTATACCTGTACATTTGGTTTTTCTTGTTCCACAGATCTTAATCCTGGATGAAGCGACAGCCGCTATGGACACCGAGACTGATTTACTGATCCAAGAGACGATCAGAGAAGCCTTTGCAGACTGCACCATGCTGACAATCGCTCATCGTCTGCATACAGTTCTGGGCTCTGACCGGATTATGGTACTGGTGCAAGGACAGGTGAGCGAGCTGCCAACTTCTTTTTCTTCTAAAAATTACCATGGAGCCGGGAGCCACTCAATGGGTGGCAAAACTCGGCAGCTCTCGTAAAATGTCAATTCATAGTCAGCCAAGCAATGAAGCAATCTTCCTTGTTTGTAATATAAACAAGGTCTTAGCCAAGAGGTTTCTAAAAATGATAACTTTCCCGAGAATTATTTGGTCGCCACGATATAAAAAAGATGTTGAGACTCTAGAAAGAGTGCAGAGAAGAGCGACAAAGATGATCAGGGGACTGGAGGCTAAAACGTATAAGGAACATTTGCTGGAATTGAGTTTGTCTAGTTCAGTGATTTTTTTTATTTTTTTTTTATTTAACAGGATTTATATGCCGCCCTTCTCCCCATGGGACTCAGGGCGGCTCACAGCGTATTAAAACATCATACAAAAAATTTCCCCTACTAAAAACCAATTAAAACCCAAATATTGGTAGCTGTGGCTCTTTAAAATCGTTAAAAATTGTCCCTATTTAAAACTCACCCTAGGTCAGGCCCGCTTGT